AGCCTGGTGATGGGTATTAAGGAGGGCACGTATTGAATGGAGCACTGGGTGTTATACGCAAACAATGAATCATGGAACACTACATCAAAAACTAATGATATAATGTATGGTGATTAACATAACATAATAAAATAAATAAAAGTCATTCTAAACTGTTTAAAATAAAGGGCAAAATGGTAGAAAAGGAGACACATAGAGAACTATGGAGGACATCCTAGAACACTAATAAAAATATAAATGAAAGTAAAGTTTCCCCAAAATAAAGAGGGAATATTCCACCTTACTCCATTCTAAGCCAAACCTTGCTTAGAAGCTAAAACGGGCTTATGAAGTATGTTAAATGCTAGTTATATTCATTAAGTTTTGCATTCACTTGTGTGTGACAGAAACCCAAATGGGGGTCTCTTAACCAAATGGGGTTTATTATTCTGCAAGTACAGGAACAGAGGTCAGCAGTTAAGAGCTGCTGAAGTAGCTCCACAATGTCTTCTGGGTCTTTCCAGCAGGTTTTTTTTGGGGGGGGTGGGGTGGTTCATGTGCTAATTTCATTAGCATGTGCCTGCCAGTCCTTATGGTCACAATATGGCTGTTCTACTCAGGCTTCTATCTGCATTCCAGCCTAAAAAGAAAAAAACGAAGTGACATGGAGAGAGGAGCCATGTCTGTGTTGGAAAAGCCAAACTTTCCCAGAAATCCCCGGCAGACTTCTTTTTATGTTTCATTGGTTGTAACTGGGTTAATTGATCACTCCTAGCCACAAGAGAGGCTGAGAAAAACAGTGTTTCAGTTGGGCACCTTGTCTGCCTGAACAAAGTCAGGATTATGTCAGGAAGGAAGAAAAAAAATAAATACTGAGTAAACATAAGTAGTATCTGCCACAACAGTGTTCCAATTTTATTTACATTTGCCTCATAAGACCTGTTTTGGATGAACTTCTGTCCTTAGTTTTTCATACATAACATTAACCATTTTACCAACTACAGAAAATAAAATATCATTAGCCAAAAGCAAAACATACCCAGTCAAGTTGAGTCACATATATATTGCAAATTGCTAGTGGGGAAATTTCAGGATCACTTTTTCCCCCCAAACTTAAACTTGCTGCTTACCCACCTACATTTTCATATATGCTTTAGAAGGAAAATCTTTCCCTTCTCTCCCTCCCTTCTCCCTGTACAGCTACCTTTGTTTTGTTTTGTTTTAAGATTTTATTTATTTATTTGAGGGAGACAGAAATCAAGAGATCATGAGCAGGGTTGTGGGGAGGATGCGGAGGAAGAGGGAGAAGCAGACTCCCCACTGAGTAGGGAGCCCAGTGGACCCGGGGCTCATGACCTGAGCTGAAGGCAGACGCTTAACTGACTGAGCCACCCAGGCGCCCCTATACAGCTACCTTTAATCAGTGGCACAAATGGTATCCTTTAGGACTCTTGGGAAGGAATCATTTCATCTGTAATTAAAAAGAAAATACAGTGGCGCCTGGGTGGCTCAGTCGTTAAGCATCTGCCTTCGGCTCAGGTCATGATCCCAGGGTCCTGGGATCGAGCCTTGTATCGGGCTCCCTGCTCAGTGGGAAGCCTGCTTCTCCCTCTCCCACTCCCCCTGCTTGTGTTCCCTCTCTCATGTGTCTCTCTCTGTCAAATAAATAAATAAAAATCTTAAAAAAAAAAAAAAAAAAGAAAAGTAACGATAGTATAATATAATTTCACCCAGTGGTCCGGTTTTAATTGTATTTCTCTATTAGTAAAATATTTCTACTATGCCCTCCCTACATGTATAAATATACTTATATATATTATATATGCCATATAGCTCATATATATTACATATTTATATATATTATATATAAATTGTATATATAAATTATGTGTGTGTGTGTGTGTATAAGACACACCTATCCATTTACTCCATCAGCCTTTACATATTTCTTCCAGTATGATTTAGCCTTCCACTACATTAGGTGTGGTCTCATCCTTCAAGTGTCTTACCCTCAATACCTCTCACAGTCTTACCCACCTCTCCTCTGCTGCTTTGGGAAGAAGCATCCTGCTGGCTGACAGGTTCACCTTGTTCTTGTGCTATTAATCCCAACCTTATTTACCTCCTCTAAGGCCTTGCTCTATCAGGTATTCCGTAGTTTCTTTATCTCCCCTGGCTCTTTGCCCTCAGCCCATGTACATGCTCAGGTTCCGTTCAGCATTCTTTTGCCTCTGCATCCTCATGAAGCTTCCACTGCTTTCTGTCCCATCTCTCAGTCTTCCCAGTCACCCTTCAACTCAATGGCATTCTGCATTCTTCTTTCCACCTGAACTGCCTTGCTTATTAGGTCCGCAGTCACACTAGCTGCTTTTTATTCCTCTTTGCATTATTTGATACATTTTCTCCCTGACCACTCCTTGCCAGTTTCTTCTGCAAGTTGCAGTTCTTCCATTTCTACTTAAATGTAGGTCCTCCCCAGGTTTCCACCTTTTCCTTTCTCTTGGTATATCATCTTTTCCTCTGTGATCTTATCTCTTTGTAAGGCTTCAGCTCTTCCCTTTACCGTTTTGATTACTTCCAAACTCATATATACTGCCCTGACCTCTTTTCTGATTCTTGATATGTATTTCCAATTATCTGCTAAGTACCTCTTCCTGGATAATTCAATGGTTCTCAAAATATAACATGATTAAAGTCCAGTCATTTTGTTTAATCCCCAAAACTCTACTTCTTCACTAGTTATCATTCTCCCAGTTTTTCACATTATAAGTTTCAAAGTCCCTTCCATTCATCGCCATATCTATCCCTTTTAATTCTAAAATACCCCCATCTCCCCTGTCCTCAGTGTTACTTACCCTAGGAGTGCAGCCCTATAGAGCAGAATAAAAAAAATAGATCTAAAGCAGCATCATACAGCAGACTTTGGAGTAGGATAGACCTGAGTTCAGATCCCAGTACTGCCACTTACTAGCTGTGTGACCTTGGATGTGGTGTTTAACTTCTCATCAAAAAGTTGGGAGGTAACAGAAGCTATCTCAGGATCATTGTTAGGAATTACTAAAGTAAAACACACAATGTAAAAACCCCTACCTAGGCTATTAAAGTAGATTCCTAACTAATCTACTGCCTTGGCTTCTCCTCTACTCCATCTTACACACTGCCACCAGAGTTTTTGAAATACAATGGGATCATTTATATTCCCCTGTGAAAAGTCTCTGGTAGTTTTCCTTATTTGTTCAAGAAACATTGGAACACATTTGTCTTAGTTATATGCGTTAAGTAATCATACACTTTGTCATACAAATCAGGACACTTGAGAGAGTGAAGGGAGACCTTAACTGAACAGGATTTCAGGACAACAACCACAAACTGGGACTGTCCTGGGAGAAGAGGGGTGAATGGTCATGAATGTAGATGGTATTCTTTACAGTGCACCCCCAGCCTCATCTGTTGACATACCACACTGTTCACCATTCCCAAAACAGAGGTCTAGAATACCTGGAATGCCCCTCTCCCTCTTGTTGGAAATGTATGTTTACCTTACTTCTGCAGAATTAATCAGTCCCTCTTCTGTGGACTATAATACTCTCCACATATCTCTAATGTAGCATTTACCATTTTATAAATGTAATTGAACTCTTCCTCTCTCACTAACTTACAAGCTTTTAGGGTTAGTCTCACTTGTCTTTAAATCAATCCCCAGGTACTTGCACAGTACATGGGATCTAGTCTGTATTCAGTAAATGTATATTGAATTAATAAATAAATTGGATTTGTTGGTTTGCCTTAGACAATCCACATGTGAATAATTCAAAACATTCTTTTTTTTTTTTTTTTTTTTTTAGTCTGGTCTTTGCCTTGTTCCATAAAAAAATAAAAGGCAGCTTGTAAGAATACATTCTGTAATAGCATAAACATGGATTTTCTTTTTTTCTTTTTATGAAGTGTTTCTTAACCTCATGTTTGTTATTTTTTTATCCACAGTCCCCATCTCCCTGTCCACCTTTCCACTGGCCATGAAATGCAGTTCTAACATGAAGTAGAAGTCCTTTTGGGGACAGAGTCTTTCCTGATAAGAAGGAATAGAAATTTAAAAAATTTTAAAGAAATTTTAATAATTTTTTAGAGAGTAATGTCTGTACTAAAATTAAAATAAATGCACTCAGTATTATTACTCTATCTGATATGGGTACAAAGTTGCCCTTCCTAAATTCTTCATATCCTGTCATTTGAAATAATAACTTTTACCACATGCTGATCAATAATGTTAATGAAAAACACTACTAAAAAATGAGACTTTTTGTTTTAAAAAAGCAAGTTTGCAGATGAGTATTACTTTATTAGCACATATCTAAACACAGTATGGTCACTCCATTTTATTGTTTATATTTATTTTTACTAAAAACTAATTTTTAGTTTTTTTGAATTTAGTTTCTCTCTCCAGAGAGAGAGAGAACGAGCAGAAGCAGGGGAGGAGGAGAGGGAGAAGCAGACTCCCCACTGAGGAGAGAGCCCGACACGGGGCTCGATCCCAGGACCCTGGCATCATGACCTGAGCCAAAGGCAGACACTTAACCGACTGAGCCACCCAGGCACCCCTAAAAACTAATTATTTTTAAAAAGAGATCTTAACCATTTAAGACTAAAGCACTCCATTTTCTACACTTTAAACATACAAAGTAAAGAGAAAATATCACATCTTTATAAGCTGCACAAAGCATTCCTTTAGGAGTAATGGATATGTGTATCCTTGATGCTTGATGATATTTTTAAAAGTTCTACATCAAATGATATATTTACATATTTCTGTAAAAAAAGTTGTTATCCAATTGATGTAGCAGATGTATTTCTCTGTGAAAGTTGAATAGTGTTGAAAAAATTTTTAAGCCTTTTTAGCTGTGCTAGTTAAGCCAAAATCTTATACTGTATATGCTGGCATATGCTTTAATTACATTTAACTGCATAGTATTAAAGAGAATGTTTATTAAGCATTAGTTAGCTTTGATATGTTTTTCTCTTAGTACCAAGGACGATTGCTTCAGTGTTAATATTCAGCCACCTGTTGGAGAACTGCTTTTACCTGTGGCCATGTCAGAGAAAGATTTTAAGAAAGAGCAAGGTGAGAGATTACTACAATTTACTAGAAATTGACATCCCAAATAATACGTGCTCATTCTTCTGTCTGGTCTCTAAAATAAATTACCATATATACATAGCCATTAGCAGATGTATGTGAATAATCTTCCAGTTTTTACTAATTCTTTACTTCTATAAAATAACCTTAAAAGTGTATGTTTGTCTACATTCCTGGCATACTTGAAAATTGATTAATATGTCTTTAAAATCATACATTGATTCTTTATTAACTTCTCACTTTGGGAGTTGTGGGTTTGTCAACCTAATGATGTACTCATGTATTTTGTATTAGTGAAAATGTGAGGGATTTGAGACTTACCAAAGTTCTACCACTATAAATGTTATGTCTCTGTTATTTTCTTTCACTACAGAACTGTTTTTCATGTCCTACTAATATATTTCTCCCTGTACACATTAGAGTGTCTCACTCTTCGAGATAAAGTCCTAATTATTAGCATTGACCTAATTCTATAGTGAAGAAATGCTGTGTTGCCCGGCTGTATCAGAGCTGAAATATCTTAAAATATGCACCTAAAAAGAAAATATTTTCAGCAGAATGGAAGTATTAATATGTTGTGCTTGCCCCAGAGTCCAGCATACCTACTAAGAAAAAGAAATTTTATTTTCTTATATGAATAAGGGGAAATAACTATGACTTGATGTGTTTAATTAAAGATACTATAAAACTAGGGCATATTTAAATGGTATAGTCAGCAATTTTTGGAAGTTTATGTGAAAGTAGGCTATTTTTCTGTCTAGAGGGGTTATCATACAAAGATTCCTTCATCTTGAGGTCGTTAAATCCTATCTGTCATGCTTCCAGAAAGTACTGGGCACATACAAATATCTATACCTAAGGAGAGACACATGCTTCTTGGCACTCCATCATTATAGTGCCAAAGATCTTTTTTTTCTTTTTTCTTTTTCTTTTTCTGTAAGCCATTGCAATCCACAGTGTTCCAAAGCCCTGTTGTAGAAGAATCTCACAAAGAAAATTTCATACAAGACTGTAAATTAATAGTGATCTTTTATTTTCTGCCTTATTTTTAAGTGATAAAAAAGAATGACTAAATCCCTCTTTGCATTTGCTTTTCTTGGAAGTTGATTATTGCTGTAGAAGAAAATCGTCTTTGTGATTTTATGATTTTATTTTTCTATTGACGAATTGATGCTTACATTTGCTATTCTTACCCTTTGCTGGCTAAAGCCTGCCTCTCTGCTTTACACCTGCTCAGCAAACCCAGGTGAGTGGCACATAAGTGACAAATAAGGCTTTGGCACATTGTTAAGGGGATATTCTTTTTTTGAAAAGTGCAGCTAAAGCAGCAGATTATCATATACCTTTTCTATCCCTCAGCTTTGGTTTAGAATACTTGATATTTCGATTAAGTGTTTTGTGCTCTGCTGTGACTGAGGGATTTTTTCCCTGACTAGCCATACAGAACCGTGAGCGCCCAAGAGAGGTGCACTTGCAGAGTGGCTGTGGTCCTCTGTGGAGTTGTTGCCAAAATTCCTTTTTCTTCTGCCATTTTACTTCTATGGTTGTTGATTATTTGTCTGAATAAATCTGGCAGCTGTTTGCTATGTTTAATAGAGCAGAAAGGCTACTCTGAATAAAGCTATTTGAAAATTTGTTTATATGAAGTATTTGTAAATCCTTGCAAGTCTCTTGGCATTTCTGTATCATTCTTTCTGTCTTCCTGAATTCATTCTTTTGATACGGGACTTGATGCTGGCAAATTTACCACAGCATTAAAGAGTCTTTTCAGTAGCATCTTTTTAGTTATAGATTTCAGCTGGTTTGGTAATCGAGGTCTCAATTCTGAATTTTACGCATGTATTTGTTTTTATACTACTCTAGGAAGAGCTTAGCTTATTTCAACAAATGATACCTAGAAAGGACTCACTAACTGAAAATCTTAAACATCCGTTTCCTCAGATTTTATCAATGCAAACTGCTGGATGGTAAAATACCAATAAATTTAAGAAGCACCTGTGTGTGTCATTGCATGCATACATTACATAATTTTTCTACTTTAAATAAAATGAACTGAGACACTTAAAACCTCATTTCACAGGGCATATATTTTAAGGCTCAAGAAATGCATTAATTAGGGTTTAACTGGAAAAATCATAAATATAAGGAATATTTTATTTTTATACTAAAGATGTACATAATTAAAAGTTTGTACAGTATTAAATAAGAGTGCATCTAACACATTGTGCATATTAACCTATTTTATTTTTTTATTTTATTTTATTTTTTTTTTTTTTAAGATTTTATTTATTTGCTAGAGAGAATGAGAGACAGCATGAGAGGGAGGAGGGTCAGAGGGAGAAGCAGACTCCCTGCCGAGCAGGGAGCCCGATGCGGGACTCGATCCAGGGACTCCAGGATCATGACCTGAGCCGAAGGCAGTCGCTTAACCAACTGAGCCACCCAGGCGCCCCATATTAACCTATTTTAAAGCGAAAAGGGTTTTATTTCTGATATGCAGCCTGATCTATCATTTTTTCTCGATTGTTGCATTTAGAGTTCCATGGCTAAACATGCATGTTTATAAGGTTGGTGGTCACAGTGTTAAAAGAAAGACTGGTTTATCCTAGATAGTGAAGTTACCTATAATACTCATCTTAAGAACTTTAAACCAGAGCAGATTTTTTTTCATTGAGTTTTGAGCATTGCAGAATTAGTTAATGATCTAGCTGTAGAATTATTTTGGTACTGTAAATAATATGAGATCCTCTCAAAAAAAATTCGGTTTCTTAAGGCAGTTTTAATTATTATAAGAGATGTAAGCCAACTGTTCATTCCAAACTGCCTCCTCTTACTCATGTTCTTCTTATGTTAAATTAGAAATCTAAAACTTAGAAATTTTTAATTTTATTTTCTTATATTATTTGATTTACATTTTAGCAGTTAAGTACAGCTGATTAACCTAAATTAAGTACTCTGTCCCCCTGCCTCTCTAAAATTTAGATAAATTCTAATGAAGCAACAAATTCTATGGTCAGACAATTTCAAAATATTTTCCTGGTAACTTTACCTTTATTAATTAAATGTGAGCAGCCTATATGGTATCTAAAGTCTGTTTTTTTTGTAGGAGAAACTTTTAATGATACCTTGGCATATTTTTCTTTCTCGTTAATTTGAGAATTCCTGATATATTTTCATTTAGAAAAATCTCTGGTTTAAGAAACCTAGAATGTTTACTTAATTTTATTATGATTTATGCATCCATCTTATGGTTTCCTAGCTAGCAAGATGCTAATTCTTTAAATGGTCAGACATTTACTATTTTCTGGCCCTTAACTACCACAAGCAATCATATTTGATGCCCCTTAATTAGAGCACCTTTTTTTCTTTCCAGGTTCTTTTTCCACCTCAGCAATCGAGACAATACATTTGCTTACCATGCTGCTCTCCTAAGTGTTCTTTTGCATGTAAATTAATCTTGATTCAGTTTACACTGTCATGCTGAGTGGTACAAATTGCCTATAACAATAAAACAGCATGAGTTAAAAATAAAGGGGGGTGGGAAGGCAGATTGAATGTGTGCCTTACTTGATAGGATGTTACTTTGCTTTATGCCAATACATTAGCTGACGATAATGAATCTTCTGTTCTGAAAAGCATGGTTTAGTTGATTTTTTAAATTTTACTTCAATGGAGCAGTACCTTGTCTTTTATAGACCAAGTTAGACAAACCATTAATGACAAGAGTGTTAAGGTTAAATATGAAGCAATGCATTCACTTCTCTGAGTGCTATCCATCTTTCCATTTACAGGAGCTTGACAAAAGTACTGGCTTTGTACAACATTTCCTTTAATTACATGCTGCGGGAAACAGGCTTTTAACATAAACATAGTTGCATTCATTTATTCAGCAGTTGCTCTTCAATAGAGCTTAATGGAGAAGGTTTAAATCCTAAATGAGTACACACATCTCTCAACAGTGTTATGTCAGCAGCCACTGTGCTTTACTTAAAAGCAGTGTTTGACTGCTTGTGTAGTTTTTAAAGCTTTTGCCTAATACTGAAGTTAACCAGTCTGAGACAGAACATAGTTTGAAAGTGGTTAGTAAAACCTGCTCTTTGTTAAAAGCTAGCTAAGTCTTTTTACAGTATTGGGTTTTCGAATCTTTGTGCTGCTAATCATAGGGATTCTTTTAAATTTCAGGTTGCGTTTGCAATAAATAACTAAATTAAGTACACAGCCCTGAAGGTTCAGGGCCTTTTGAAAACATAAAATCAAATTCAACCATTTTTATAAATTTTGTAAACGGTTGTGCACATATCAAATGTCTCAAAAGATTATCATTTCTACTAGATACCATTAGATGTCGATGACTTATATCACAGATCCAGGTAGATGTCATTTATTATAATTATTTTGGGTTTTTTTAACCTCGGTACTAAATTTCAGTATTTGTTCCAAGGGTTTGGCATGTTACTGAATTTGTTAACTGTATGGTTTTTGTTCATAATTTTCCTTAACTTTATTTTTTTCCTAAGTATTTCTTTAAAATGTCTCTGGAATTTAAGGTTTTTCCATTCACATTTTTCCCTTTGTTTCCAAATGTTTTGCTTCAGAAATTTCAGTTGGTGTTTTTATAATTAACTGTATAGTCCTATTCACTAGACAAATACTATTATATTTAGGTATAAATATAATATAGCTACTTAGATACTTGTGCATTTTGTAGAACCCCGTAACTGTTCAGTGACTTTCAGTCATTGCTAAGATAATTTTGATCCATCAGTTGAGGCCATTCATCAGGTAATGTTGCTGGTTATTTCAGCTCACTTTGACTTGTTCTTAGGCAGCATTTGGCAAGAGAGATCTCTGAATGAAAAGGAGAGGAAAAAAAATATTAACAAGTAAAAGCATAAATAGTTGACGTAGTCCAAATGATTATATTTTAAAGGGACTGAAATTAAATAGAATCTTTGTGATTCTACATGTTTATCTTATAGTATTGAAAATCAGATTTATTAAGAGTTATGTTCCACTGCATTTTTACACATTTTCCTACACAGTAAGGATTTAAAAATTTTTGTAACATTTGCAGTTATTTTAATTCTTTGATAATTATCTTGAAAATTATGTTCTGGAATGGGGTTTTTATATGAAAAAAGTTTTAAAATTTTGGCTATGAACTTGAAATTGTTTTAATGTAATTTTCATAAATTAGTAAAAGGGAGCCTTCTTTTGCTCTTACAGGAATGCTAACAGGAATGAATGAAACTTCTACTGTAATCATTGCTGCACCACAGAATTTCACTCCCTCCGTGATCCTTCAGAAGGTTGTAAATGTAGCCAATGTAGGTGTAGTCCCTTCTGGCCAAGATAATATACACAGGTAGGTTCACCAACATGTGATGTGGAGATAACTTGTGTGTATATATGTATAATAGATATGTATAAATATATAATTTTCACTTCATAGTTTTCCTTCAAAACACTGTATCTACCCCCCTCCCTTTGTTTCTGATGAGATATTTGATTGATTGGTTTGTGTTAAGGCTCTCTTCCCTATTTATGCAATCCTTAGCATGGGCACTAGCATGGACTGTCCTGAAGGACAGACAGTGTACTTGTATTTTATAATAGCTTGGTGATTTGTAAAGGTACCGTTTGTGAGCTATGGTTGAGAACTTATCCTATTTCACCAGATTCAGTGGATTTCCAGGAAGAACTGTTTCATAAAGTAGTGCAGTTGGACTTTTTTTATTTGAAAGAGGAAGTTTGGGTACCATATACAGAGTTCCTTTTTACAGCTCCCTTGAGACTGCTCCCATTTATAAGGAGCTACTAGAAAACCAGCATAGGGCCAAATGCAGCTTCTGTTTCTTAGACCAAATCTATCTTCACCACCGAGCACGTAAAGCGTGAGATCCAAGTCATTTGTCCTTAAAGGTAGCAGAAAATGAGATTAATATCGTTGCCCTCTTTGTGATCTTCTGGGTGCCAGTGGCTTGAAATGAAAGTAAAGTAAAGACAAAATGTAAAAAAAGTAAACAAGCATGCATTTGTAACTTAGTCCTCTGTGAGCTTAAAGGAATTCATTAATTCCATCTTTATTTCCTCTGCCATTCCACTGCCAATGGCATACTTCTGCCTTTATCCATGTGTATGGAAAATAAATTTAAAATCAAAAAGAATGCCTTCAGACCTTAAAATTTTTTGAAAAAAAAACTTTTTTGGTGGGTGCCTGGCCTGGCTCAGTTGCTAGAACAGGCAACTCTTGATCTCAGGGTTGTAAGTTTGAGCCCTACATTGGGTGTAGAGATTACTTAAAAATAAAATCTTAAATTTTTTTTTTTCAAATTGATACAGGGGTAGGAGAGCCCCCTTATAAAGAGTGTTACAGTTTATTTGAATTTTAGATTTATCTCTGCCATTTTTGGGCTTGGTAATTTGAGACAAGTTATAACTTCTTGTGGGCTTTAAGATCTTCATCTATTTAGAAAGGGGTGGCAAGGAAAAGAAGGGGTATTGAAATGAAATTCTGTCTTATCTGTGGAACAACATTGGTCTTGGCCTCAGAAGAGCTGAGTTCAAGTCTTGATCTGCCATTATTTGTAGTTGCCTAATATCATCTACTAATTGTGACAGAATGAAAACTGCATGTGCTAATTAAAAAACAAATTTACCGGGGCACCTGGGTGGCTCAGTTGGTTAAGCGACTGCCTTCGGCTCAGGTCATGATCCCGGAGTCCCGGGATCGAGTCCCGCATCGGGCTCCCTGCTCAGCAGGGAGTCTGCTTCTCCCTCTGACCCTCCTCCCTCTCATGCTCTCTGTCTCTCATTCTCTCTCTCGCAAATAAATAAAATCTTAAAACAACAACAACAACAACAAATTTACCCTATCTTTTTTGGTTTTGTTTTGTTTTTAGAGAAAGGTCCTTAGTTAAGTTGTAATTTAAGAGGTCTGATGCTTCCATTTCTTAATTTCTGACAAGCCGTATCTATCTCACATAGGGTAATGACAAAATAATAAAATGGGTATTAGGTCATTGTTCTGGTGCCACCATGGAAATACAACTTACCCGTTATTGTTGTTCAGTAGGGGAAAAAGTTAACAGAAGGCTTTTCAATGAAAATATTTTGGTTCTGAGTTTTCCTGTTTTAATTGTTTTCTGCTTTAAATACTTCTTTTTACTTTCCTGGGTGATTTTCTCTAGCAGAAGTTCTTTGTTTTATTTATGGATATTTTGAATTATTGAAATTCCTAAAACACCAAAATGTCATATGTCAGCTATAACTTTTAGCTTATACAATCTGAAATTTTACCTGGTACATCTAGTATCCAACAATACTTCAGTCCTGTAATTCTGTAATGTAATTCTGTGATGTACAGAAAGACATATGGTAACCCTTGTTTATGTTGGAACTTCTGATTTATTTTTTGTTTTGTTTTATATGTGAGTTAACTTTTCTGAAAGCAATGGCAGCTTTCCAGATTTTTGTTTCTTAGAAGAAAACAGCCAAACTGCCTTCTCAAAGCCAGCTAATATAAAAGCTCCCTTCTTATTGGGAAATAGACTAAGAAAGACACTTAGCACAGTTCTGTAATTTTTATTAGAGCGACATTTGCCTGTAACTTGTCTTGGTGGTTTGGAACCTAATGTCTGTTCAAGTGATTAAATTATAGTCAATTCTCAATTATCTGTGCTAATGCAGGGGAGACACACAACTAAGAACTGTTTATATTTGGCTTTAGAATGCAGAGATTGCCCTCAAACTTAATGTTTATGGTCCTCATAGACATATACAGTGTCTTGACACTTCTCTAATCCAGCTGGTGTTTGGCTCTGTAACTTGGGGGAGGAGCCCAAGTTACTAGAGAGTCAAAAGTGAAAAACATGCCTATCTATAATTAAGATTAGGTTGTGCTGTCTTAATTTGCCTCACAAGTCTCATTAGATATAATTGAAAATGTTTGCATTTGCTCTCATAGTTAAAGTATGGCTGTATTAATGTTCTAAATTTCAGAAAGCTTCTAGGTAATAAAGACCTGGGTTACTTGTATTTTTCATACAGAAATTGTTAAAAATTCTCATCCTGCATATGTAACATTTTTGGTCATTCTTTTATATTCAGTAACAGTTAAAACAAAAATGAACAATTATTAGTAAAATCTGTACCAATGCCTTTCTTAATGTCATTTAAAATGAAATAGTAATTACTGTTTACATTATAATAACAGAAATGAGCAGTTTATCACTTCATTGAGTTGTACTCATGTTGTTAACTGTAGTGTTCGGTATCATATTATCCTCTGGAATTAATGAGTTTATATATCTAAACTTATGTTATTTAATTGCCAGGAACAAAATTGAAATCCCTTTGAACTTTTTGAGTGACTCCTTTATACTTCTGTGACAGTTGCTTTTTGAGTTGATGAAGACTAGGACCAAAGTCATTCTTGTATTTATATATAATGGTAATTGATTTAAGATTACTTTAAAAAAAACAAGTGTGAAAAGCATTTTGAATATTAGTATTTTAAGATATTAAAAATCTCAGTACAACAAATTATTCTTGCTAGGCTATCTTCTATTTAATTTTTCAGGATCTTTTATTTCTGAGAGGAGTTTTCAGTAAGCATCAGAGTATTCTACCATTCAATGAATAAAGTTTCCACTGTCTTAATTTTGGAATAATTTATTCCCACTACTCTTAAAATTTGAGTAGTTTTTACATTAAATGCCAGGTTAAAAAATAGTTAATATAAGAATTATCTAAGAAAAAGGGAATCTTCATTAATATATAGAAGTGCGTAATAGTGTAGACATTTTAATTGAATACATAGCAGAAAATGGTTCCTACATAACAACAGAGAATGGCCTCCGTTAAGAAAAAGTCAATTAGGGGCGCCTGGGTGGCTCAGTTGGTTAAGCAACTACCTTCAGCTCAGGTCACGATCTCAGGGTCCTGGGATCGAGCCCTGCATCAGGCTCCCTGCTCAGCGGAAGCCTCCTTCTCGCTTTCCCACTCCCCCTGCTTGTGTTCCCTCTCTGGCTGTCTCTCTCTGTCAAATAAATAAATAAAATCTTAAAAAAAAAAAAAAAAAGTCAATTAAAGGAGCACAAGTTTTATGGAATTCATTTAAAAACCAGGAACGTTTCTTAAGTAATTAACTGCTTTTCAAGATCAGTAAGAAAGCATATCTACTGTTAGATTATATGACATTTAGTTTTGATTTTCTAAATGAGCAGTAGTCTCAGAAAGCCAACCAGTATACTATTGAAAGACAACTTTATTTTCATTTCTCTTTTACTTGCTTGGTGATTGAAAAGGCTGCTCTTTGAGAACAAAACCATCCCATTGAGATCTAGAGTTATGGTCATTATGGCAACCTGCTATTTTCCATATTACAGTTACCACATGATAAGGGGTAATACAGAAATGAGAATTTAAAAAGTCATCAAAAAAGTGTTTATTAACCATGGAGCTGAATATCTTCATGTCCTGTGTTAGCTATTCATATTAAAACATGTTGTATGTTTTATGTGTTGTAAAAGTCTTAAAGCATATTATTAAGACAGTACTAATAAACCAGTATATAAATGAAGTACACACAAAGGGCATAGTGAACAATAGTAAACCAGTATATGAATGGACTGCAAAGGGAAAATGTCAATATTTAGTGTGTTTAGGGGAAGAGAATTAGAGAGACTAGCAATGGGAATCTTAGGTACATCCAGGGCCAGGAAAAATTTCTTGTGTTCCTCTGAGAAAGAAATCAAGTAAGGGTTTATGACTGGAGGTTTGTATTCAACAATGTAGAGACCATGGTGCATTTTCTTTTATTACATTGTTTGTCCTCTCATAAAGGTACTAATGTACAGTGAGCAAAAAGCAGAAAGCTAAAAATCTGTAGCTCCAGAATCTTAGGTTTTTCTGTACAAAAGAATCCTGTGGAGGGTTGTGTAAAACTCAGATTCCTGGGACCTACACCCAGGGACTCAGATGTGGTACATCTGGGGTATGGCCCAGGAGTCTGCATTTTAGCCAGCGGTCCAGGCGGTTCGAAGGCCGATAATGTTCCAGAGTTCACAGTTTGAGGCTGCCTTATATTATCAAGAGTTAATGACAGCTACATGACACATGTTAAAGTATATCTTTCCTGTTCATGCATTTCCTTTTTACACATTAGTTATTAAGAGATGCTAATAGACGGAGGTGTTTGATTTGGTTTTTTCTTATGGCCACGCCATTGTCCTCCAGCAAGAGTATATTGTTAATTATATGAGTGTATTACAGACCTGTCTGTGAAACAGTCTCAGACCACAAGTAAAAGTTTGTCTTTCAGCAGTCCCAACCATTTCACATTTTAACCCAGTTTCTGGAATT